GGGGCGTGGGGGCGGGGCCGCCCGCCGGGGGGCGTGGTCCCGGCAGCCCCGCCCGCCCTGGGCCGGGCCAGGGCCGCCTTCGGGCGGGATCCGCTCGGGTCCCACGCGGGATTTGAACCCGGGCGTTCCCGCTCCGCCCGAGGCTTTTCCCGCCGTCCCTGCTCTGGGAGCGGTTCTGAAAGACATTTGTAAGACGGGAGCGTCCTCTTCGGTGGCCTGAGCAACCTTCGGGCTTCTTTGGAGCCCTTGAAGTGCAAGCAAAGATGTATCGTAACGCTTTAGAGTTCTGTTTTCCTGTCGAAAGTGAAACACGCGCTCTCGTTTTCAGGGGTCGATGGTTGTTTGATGAAGTATGTGCGTAGCTTCTCGCTCGCTGAACAGCAGGAGGAGGCCTCTGAGAGGCCGTAGCATCCCTTCTGCTTTCCTGCTCCTCCTCGGCTCGCCGGCCGTGCCCGGCACGGTGCCGCCCTGCCTCGGAGAGCTTGCGCGGCCAAGGCTGTCCCTGGCTTCCAGGGAAATTACCAATTACAGTAGAAGTAGGTTAAATGGGCGCTGAACTTACACGTTTTGTCTTGCAGGGGACATTAATGTGATAATTTCCCCTTTGGGGGATTTTTTTGGTTGTTTGCTTGCTTTTAAGAAGCAGCAGAAAGCGATCAGACTTCACGCGCTCCATCGTCTTTCTCCTCTTCTCCGTCGTGTTCAGAGAGCAGACACGGGCCTGAGAGCAGAGTTTCTTAGAAAAAAGTAGTGATATTTACTATGTTATGCTTGCTATCATCCAGATCTGGATACATTTCTGGACGGTGCAGACATGAGTGCCAGTGCCTTCTGCAAGTAATAATTCACATTCACGTCTTTCTAATAACAGCGCTCCTTCAGTTCTCTCTCATCTGTTTTAACCTAATATAACCATAGCGGTGTGGCTGGGCATTGAACCTCCTGGTAGCCCCTTTTGCACACTGAGTTGCTCTGGAGACTATTTAAGTAGCAGGTTACAACATCATCTCACCTATGTTCTTTGCTCCCTGTAAGATGCGACCTTGTCCTGTGGTGGTGAGCAGCAGTTTGTGTATTTACGCTCAGCCACTTTCCGTCGTTCCCACAAAACTTCAACCTGCAAGTCAGGAGCTGGCTCCCACACTGTTCTTTTCTGTATGCTTGTTAGATGATCTTAATTAGCGAGATTACCGGATCAGTTTTTGAATATTCTTTAAGAGAATAATTCACGCATTTGCCACATGGTGGTGACAAAAGCAGGTAAAATGAAACTCGGCAAATGGTTAAGCGAGCTCTCAGCAAGAACATGAACGATTACCCGGGTACCTGCCCGATTACCGGCTTTTGTTGCACTTCGATAAGCGCGCTGTGGCCAGTGAGAGCTGGCCCGTTGGGGCTACGTACGACACGCGTCTCCGAACGGCAGCACGATGTGAATATCGGCTTGGGGGGGGACGAGGGGAGGTCATGGTGCTACTGTACCGCGTGCAATGGATTTAGTCTGGAGAGCTCTTCTGCATAATCAAAACCCAACTGTATTAAAAGTGTATTTGAACATAACGATTGGAAGTTCAGTCACGAATATTGCAGTAAATATGATGTTATCAAAAGAGTGCCACTGGTAAGCATTCCAGACTCCTCTGGAATCTCTAATACTTATTTCTTGTTGTTACACTTTGGGCCCTTTCTGGTGGACCATGAGCTCCACAGCCTCCATGAGAGGGCTTGGAAGAGTCATGCTGAAGCTTGACAGTAAAATATTTCTAATTATTTCTTAAGCAACCCGTAAGTTTGTTTTATTTTTTAACTGTGTGCTGAGACACTTTAAAACAAATCTCTGCCACTAATGAACATGTCCCTCAGGTAGAAGTGTATCTGTCTCATCGTGTATTTTAGACCATGTCTCTCCTGTCACTATTCACGCTGAACTTGGTTACAAAATTATATGCAGAGTGTGGCAGACATTGTTTTTTAAAAGTTGAGTTAGCTTCAAAATACTCCTTAACTGAGAGAAACTTCTTACAGCTTAGATACCACATCTGATTACAAAGATATTGAAGCTGACATTAAATGTAATGAGCTTGAATGTGAAGGATAGAGATGTTCCTACTTCTGCTGCGCAAACTATTGTCAGTCACTGCCAGCAATCAGTGAAATGCTTGGAAGAGGCCCTGGAGTGATGCACCCTGCCATTCTCATCACAGGCTACCCTACAGTTGTGGGGAACAGCGCACATGGTGGGCAACGTTATTGAGTAACTCAGGTGGAAGAGGCCATAGCCAGGGCTGTTCCTGTTTGAGCTGCTCTGGTTTGGTGTGCCGACAGGTTTGGGAGGGCGTGGAGAGGGGGTCGCATGGCGCTTGCCCCATCCCTTCCCACACAGACAGCTGGGACAGCATACCTGGGCATGGCTTCTGCAGCATGCCTGCTCTATGGGCTGGACTGTGCTTGCAGAAGCCAGCTCAGCCAGGCTCAGGTCCTAGAAAACAAAAGCAAGGCATTTGGTGGCTACATCCCTATGCAAATCTGGCATTTCTGCTACCTTTACCTGGTGGGCATGCGTGATTTCATTGACATGATTCCTCAGTGTGAGTGGCTGTGCACCCCAGAAGGCCCCTATTATTATCCAGATTTATCTGATTGGATCTTCCTCGCCTTATTCAATTGCTAGGGAATTGTTTTGCTTGAGCCTTGATTCCTCTACCCATTCCCAGTGAAGCACGAGCAGGTTCATACCGTATGTGCCAATGCCTGACCTGCCAGAGCAGCAGAGCTCCCCACACTCCCGCCGAGCTCCGGTGGCTCACCGTTAGGACCTCGGCTCCTGCCAGGCCCCCTGTGTCAGCGGGGTCTCTGGTGCACAGCCTGGCGCATAACAAAACCTCTCCCTGCCTCACCGGAGAGCTGCTCCCAAAGCCTTGGGCAACCCCGCAACGGAGTGGCGAGGGTCAGCACTTGGGCGCAGATGTTTTCAGATCACACGCTATTCAGTGTCACAAGAGAAAAGCTGCATTTGGCAGACGATCATCTGCAGTCCTGGAGGGAACGTGGAAATTTCTGATGCTTTAATTTAAAAAATAAAAAAAAAAAAAAAAAAAGGCGCGGGGAGGGCAGTGAAGGGAGCAGACAAATCACATCAAGTATGAAACCTGCGGGCAGAAAACAACTCTGTGAAAGGCAGATACAAAAGCATTTCCCAAATCTATGGGCCTGACACACATGCAATTAAGCCACATATTTATTGATAACACACGGAAATACCAAATAACAATTCTAACATCAGAGTGCTTACCGGTAGCTTTCTCCTTGAATTTAGTCCCCCCCACAAACTGGAGTAGGGGGCTGTAACAGAACGCCCCCGTGGTGGGGGACAGAGGTTGTCTGCTGCCAGAAGCGGTCCTGTGAGGAACAGATCGAACGGTGCCTTGGGAAGAGGCTGAGGAAGAAAGATGTTGGGGCTGTATCTATCCCGCCAAAAGTGTCAGTGGGTGTCGTCCAAGAGACGGTGTGCAACCGCTGGAGCTGGACCCTCCAGAAGATAAAGAGGAACCCATGGAGATCGACCCACCTCCAGTGAAGCTGCACAATACCATGCTGCTTTGTAAATACCTTCTTGGCTTGTGTTTGAAACATTTGTTATTTTTCCTTTCATGTTTTGGGGAAACATACTGCTGCAAATCTATTCCCTTCTTATTTCTAGTTCTACAAAGCTAGAATTGCCTAATATCTGTCACAAAAGTTGTGGAGGTCTCATTTTAACCTCTCATTGTTTTTTTGTCATTTTTACTAAAATTCCTTGATGCATTATGATAAAATCTCCCAAAGCATTTTATAGTGGTAAAATTGGAAATTAAGAAACAGTGCAATGTGGAAAATCAGCTTGATACTTTGAAACCAGAAGCAATACTAGAAGGGATAAGCATATTCAAGAGCTCCACATTGGTTTTGTAAAAGTACACATATCTATGTGTGTGCGTGAGATAAGGAATATCTTCTGCTTCGTACTGGTGTCAGCGATCATGCATGGCACATAATACACTAAAAATAAAAAAGCAAGCCAAGCATTTGCCTGGTTTTTAGGTGAAAGGGAGATTCATAGGTCAATGTTTTATTGCGACGACAGTGCCTTTAAACTGTTCCTTATCTATCTTTCCCACCTTCCACCACCCAAGAAGGTTGGGGAGCCCGTCTGCTATCTCTTCTCACAGCTGGGGCAGCTGTCAGCGGCGTGAGCAGAAACACCCTCTGTACCGGAGGTGGTGCTCCGAGGCAGCAGAAGAGCTCTGGGGGGCCCTGCGTTTCAGAGCAGGCACTATCGCCCCCCTGATTTGGGTATCAGGTACCTGCACAAGCAGTTCGGGTCCAGCCAGCACAAAGCTGCACACCAGGGCTGTCTGGGAAGTCTGTTACGCACAGGTAATTCTTTGTGAAAATTGCTCCATATAAGAACGCATCATCTAGGCAACATCTAAAAAGAGAAGAGGTTTGGGATATTCACACCAGGAAGAGGTACATCTCAGTATCAACAATATTGATGTTTTGCTTAGCACAACCTGCCTCCTACTGAATCCCAGGGCCGTGCTGTGACAGCGAGAGGAGATCCCAGCAACCCAGCATCGCCTTGCACTACGCCTCGCAGTGGAGAATTATGCCCCAGGTGCAATCCCCGGTCCCGTACCGAGATCAGACTGCCCGAGTAGCACAGACCTGGCTGGCAGGAGATTAAAAAGCCCCTCCCCAGCGTGCTCAAAACCCCACAGTCCTAAAGGCAGGTATTTCACCAGCAGGTAGGGAGATTCCATTTCCATCAGTCTTTACACACAGCAGGTGGGCAGAGGAAGCTGTGAAAAAGACAAAGATTCCCCATTGCTATGTGTTTTTTCCATTTAAGTAAAGCTGATTTAGGTTGTACTAGCACAGCCTGTGTATATTATACCCCATAGAAAAAGAGCATATGCATTGCCTTGCATGGGCTCTGAACTCATCCAAGCAGTCCTGTCGTCTTGGGAAACTCCTTTTGCTTTCTTGAGCCTCTATTCCATCCCATCCCTTGTGGGTTAGATTGGTTTGGGGGTTGTTTTTTTTAAAGAAACACTGAAGAGATGACATGGTTCATTTTGGCAAACAGTTTTTAATAGAAACATATAATACACCTTCTTACATAAATATTTTATATAGACATATAAACACAATACTCAAACCCATGCAATGTTCCAAAGCTCCAGTTCTGTTTAAACAGTGCAAGAAAAAAAAAAATCATCAGCACAGGAAGAATGGAAATGTGAAGTTTCTAAAACATAAACAATCAGACTATTTCTCTTGTGTCCTTACAATTCACTTCAATACTGGCTGCCTCAACATGTTAACCCGTTGTGTTCTTACACCACAGCTGCAGGAGCAAGCAGAGCCAATGCACGTTCACTAATAGCGTATTGCCAGCAAGGTAGGTCATTCCAAGAGGGATCCGACTGACATCCTGCCATATAGAGAAGGGATCACATCACCTTCTCTGGAATCCCAGCTAAGATGGCGTTGGAAATGATTATCTGATAGGACTGTTAGTGTTGAATTGCCAGCATGATGCAGGTAGGTGATAAAGCACCTGTGTCCGGATCTTTTATTTAATTTACTTTGCATTTAGGTTGTACAATGACCATTTGTTGTTAATTAGAAGCATACAACCTCAAGGGCAATATATCTGAACTTCAACTCTGCACACTTACTTTTCTTGACTTGCTATAGCTATCAAGAAGTAACTTCAATCTATCAGTTTAGAAACAATGTTTTTGAAGAGAGGAAAAGGGTGAAGGATGGTAAGGATCAGAGCTGAGAAATAGTCTTGCGCCTGCCTGTGTGACACAGCTTTCAGAAGACAGTGAAACAGAACTTTGGGCTTTCCCTTCCCCCACATATGAGAGACCTGACAAAAGAAATAATAAAGAAAAACAAACAACAAACTTGCACCACAAAACTCACACCACAAAACTCACTCTCCCCAGCTCACACGTAGAGATGTTTTTGGATTTGCAGCACCGAGGGCTGATGAAACACAGTGCAGTTTAGATTCTCCATTTCTTAAAGTCAAAGGAGCCCAGGCTAATTCAAAAGTCAAAAGCGTATACTTTTTCACTGTACTGCAACAACAAAAACCCTCCTCATTCTCCACAAAGTGAGGGGAACGGAAGAACTTTCCCAAAGGAAAAGCTAACACTGCTTTAGGCCTGAATCCAGACTTAAAAAAAAAAAAAAAAAAAATTGGGAAATTTTAAAAACCCGGCCCCTCTTTAAGGCTGAAACCAAACTTAAAAAAAAAAAAAAAAAAAATTGGTAGACTTTAAGACACCGGCACATCAGAATAAATTCTCTAGTTCTTCCTTTGTTATGTGACCAGGCAGGAGTATAGGGCATAAAAGCCACTGAAGCGTTCCTGCATTTCAAGTTTCTGATAAGGACATTAATTCAAGATTTATCACCTAGCAGTCTTTGCTTGCTTGCCCCATTTTTAAGAGCCTAAGTATTTTCTGTCTGCACAAGTTGCACACTACTTTGCCATTGCTAAATCAGGAACTAAAGTATTCGTGAAGCACCTTGCAGGCGACACCATGTACAGCCCTTGACTGACACAGCCCAGGATGAACAACAGATCCACCTTACACACCGGATTAAGAAAGCCCCAAATAAATTCAGGCTTCCAGTATAATATGTTGCTTTGATCCCACACATAGGGAAGTAAAAGACATAGGAGGTAACTCAGGTAATTGCCACCTTACTCCACTCGGTCAGCAATCCTAGACTTGGTTCTCCAGCTCTCCGTGCCAGTAGTGCTCAGGATAGCAAACAGCAGGATGTGCGGTTACCACTGTTTCATGCACCCTTACAACCTCACAGCAAAAGAAAGGAACAGTTCTTCATATTTAGGATTTGGCAAATGACGTGCCTACGCGCCTGACAGTGAGAAGCAGCAGAGGGAATCTGACAGCTTGTCAGTCACGTGGAATGATTTGATGCAGTGCTCTATTATTAATATATAGACATGTGCACATGGGACCCTCCACCACCATTCTTGGAGACTCCTGCACTGCGTAGCGCCAGTCTCCCCTCGCAGATGGGCTGAGGCTAAAAGCAGGCAGCGCCTTCCAAGCCTCCAACCTGTCCCCTTACACTTTACTCAGACTTAACTTTCGTGTCAGTCGTCCAACCTTCTTGGAGTTGGAATCTGGTAAAGACCACCTTTTACACCCCACGTCCCCTCTACTCTTGTGCTCAGGAGGTTGCCAGGGCAGGCAGTGATTGTGCAAATTACACTCTAAATTTTACGAACAACAGGTAGGTAGTACCAGTTTTTCGTACAGCTACAGTGTCATGTCTTCATATTTAGAGACATCTGCTCTGTTTCTAAAATGAATTGTAATATCCCTAGATATTTAAGAAAATAAAAGCCAAAGCTATGTTTCCTGCAAGGCACGCTACAGAACAGGATGCACACTTCTACGCCCAGCTTTGTGGCAATGCTGACGGAGCTGCAAGAGTCCCAACCCAGCCAGCCAGCATAGAGGCACAAGTGAAGAGGGGAGATGGCTGTACCCAAGTTTGGACAGCACACACTATGAGGTCTTTGTAACAAAGTAGGAATGAGGAAGAAGGCACAGTGAATGAAAAAAGTGTATTTATCTCTAAGTCTAAACTCAGGAATACTGAAATATGGACTACCTGCTAAGAGAAAACGATCGGCTGGGAAACTGCGAAGGGTCTGTGTGGAGCCAGAGAATTAAAGTTCCCTACCAAACACTCACAGGTCTCAAACTTTGGAGAAAGTTTACAGAAAAGAGCAAACCCAAAGCTACTCCACATGCAATCAGCAGCAGCTTTTAAGGGACATCTGAAGTGTCAGTATCTATATCTGCTTCCATTATACATTTATGCATTATGAGCTATAACCCTAAAAGCTACATCTAAGGACAAGCTTGCGCTGAGGGTGTTGATCTAGGATTAACAAATGAATAATAGGAAGCAAATAAATCTCTAGTACAACTGGATTAAAAAAATACTTGAATGTTCCTGATATAGTCAGACCAGCAGGAAAAATGCTTTTCAGAGAACAAGTAGAACTTTGGTAGCAATAACTCTAAAGTGCCTTAGGCTTCTTAATTCCTGTGCAAACACTGCTGTAGAGTCAGAAGCACATTTCAAGAGTGTTAAGATGCTCATTTACTTAATAACACATGACACAGCAAGGAGGTTCCAGTTACCTTCTCTGCTATCATCACTTTTGTACTGTGCATGACAGAGACCGTGTTCCTAGCTTTCCTTCAGCACTTCATTTTTCTTCTACCCACTCCTGCGATATAAACATTGAGACACATCCAGTCTCCCACTGTGGTCTGCAACGCTCCCCTGTGAGAACAAAGCCCACGTGGAATGAGGATCTACATCAAGACAGTGGGTCATTGTAGCCTTACGGGCCAGACCAGCAAGGAACAGGCTGGCAGGTTCTGCAGTCAGTTTTCTCCTTAAACACTTTTGCTCAGCGATGTCTCATTGCATAAAGGTGGTGAGCACAGAGCTATTTTTAAAAGGAGCTTTTCTCTCAGCATAGTTACCAGGTTGTGGAAACCTTGCCATTTCCCGTGGCAGTCTGCAAGTGCTGTCCTTCTGGAATGCACTGATCAAATGACACAAAGCTCCGATCCTTCTTTCCTCTACTTGCCCAAAGGGCTAATCCGCTGTCTCAGAAGGGCTTTCTTCCTCCTGGCTGAGCAAGGCTTATTCCTCTGTGGAACTGGGAACTTCTAGTGCCAGTTGATCACAGCAAGCAGGAGAAGGAGTGAAGCTGGTCATTTCTTGTGCAAGTCAGTCAAGATTTCAAGCCCATTTTTTCCATCATCTGTTCATACACCGTCCATGCCATTGCTGCCATCAGAGTCCGCCTGAGGGCACGGGGCACACCACCTCGGAAAAAGCCGACCAACCCGAAGTCCTGCAACAGGAGATAAACAAACAGCAATCCATCATAATCTGCCTCTAGTGTTTTAATGTCTCATCATTTCTTACAGGGAACAGCACAGGATATATTTCAGCCCAGACCCAAATCAGTTTCTGAAAGACCCAGGCTTAAATAGCATTTAACGTTTAGGAAGAACCTGTAGCACTGTGCAATTGCAGGGCTACCCAAGAAAGCAAGAAGAGCAGTGAGTGGAGAAGGGAATGCCAGGATGGGGACAATGGATGGAGAAAACCACACTCAAGCCCAACAAAGAGAAGGTGAGAGTGTAGCAGTTTCAAGACACTTGAAGAAAATGACTTGTCCTTGTTTTAGAGCTTCATATTTACAAAGGTCACTTAGCTATTCTGTAAAAACTGAGACTGGTAAGTACTGAAGTAGAAAAACATCCTGATATGACAAAAATGTACCATGCACAAAAAAAATCCATGCACAAATAAATAGGAATTTATTTAGGAATAAATTCTGTTTAGGAATAGAGTTCAATATGGAAACAAAGCAAACCTGCCAAGATCTGCCCTTCTGAGGGCAGGAAGGGAAAGGTGGGCTTTGAGTGCATCTCCATCCCATTCCTGGGATACAGATCTGGGCATTTATTTCTCTTTTAGTGTCCAAAGGGCAAGGAATTGTTTTGTAGCTGGCTTATATCCGAAACTGGCATTTCACACTACATACTAAAGAAACCCTTTGCCCCAGTGTGGTAACCACAGATGTGCCTACACAGATAAACCACAGGTGGCAGCAGCTGTAAGTACAGCTCCTCCAAGCCGACATACTAAGCTAAGCTGAAATGAAGTTAAGATGAAATAAGCTAAGCGCTTTCCATCACTACCAGCGTAAGAATCAATACGTAACAGACAGAACTGAAGTGAAATCATTCAGCAGCCTGAAACATGAAACAGGCCTGTGTTGGGAGACGCTTGCTGGAATATGCCCAGCTTTGTGCTCCAGTACTCTGAGCTTGCTCTCCAATTCCCCATCATCTGTAATTTTGTGAAAACAGATGCAGGACTGAGGAATGGCAAGAATAATCATGGAGCAAGTTCACTGCCTTGCAATCCATTCAAGAGGAGCAAGAAACACCTGAGTAGAGAAAATAGCCTAATTACAAGGAAAAACAAGGAACGGACTGAAGCCTCTGACTGCTTTTGGACCATCAACCAGAGTACTTTCCAGTTATTACTGAACAAGTCCGCACATAAACCAGTGAAAAGAGATTCAGCCTCAGTGTCCCACAGCATGACCCACCTCAGCTTCTGAGAATGCTGACACTGATTGGGCTGACTGCAAGAGCACATCAAGCAGTCACATTTGTTCACCTCCTTTGAAAGACAACAACTTTCTTATCATACCTATGCTTCAGGCAAGGAGATCAGAAGTGAGGCTGTGATGGCACATATTAGAAGGGATTCACCTCACCTTGTAGATGAAGGCAATGGCCTGGCTTGTCCTGTGGTACTTTTGGGGGGACAGCTGCATGTGTGTTTTGATGACATCAGCAGGCTGTGTTGCCAGTGAGGCCAAGATTCCTGCAAAGATCCCACAGCCAAAATTGATCAAGGGCATGAGCACTGGATCCAGCCGGTCTGCAACAGAGCAAAGGGAGTGTACTCAGACACAAACAGGCCAGGAATACCCATGCTGCGCGACAAAGTGCAAAGCTACTGAATGAATCAACATCAGGGTCTAAGAGAAGTTAAAATCCATGCAGGCTAGAGAAACCTTTCAAGGGGAAAAGAGGCTACAAGTCAAAAGTCACCACTATTATAAAGCCTCACTTGCTGGGGAACTGAATTTGACAGGAACCCAAAGAAGGAAACCCCGGGTTAGTGGAAACTAATCAGTATGCAAGACAACCATCAGCAGAAAGGACAGCTGAACACATCCTCTCTTTCAACTGTTCACTAACCTACCTTATGCATCAGTCTTCATAAAGACAATCAATCAATTTAGGCCCAATTTCCATTTCTACACTGACCTGACCTATAGGTCTACAGTTCTCCACGGGAAAATGTGAACGTCCCACCTAAAACCCAACAAGAGACTAATTTAGCTACTGAGGAAGAGGGCAATAAGCAGAACATGCAGGCAGTCAACTCCAGGGCAAGACAAGAGAAAAGAAACATCTCCCATTACAGCCTCCAATGTTCAGCCTTACCCTGAGGTGTGAAGTTTTTGGTCTGCGTGTAGAACATCAGGTAGATCCCAGAGAAGGGCGCATCCCGCAGCAGCGTTGCGGTGAGCCCACTGAACATGCCACGAGCCCCTTCCGTCTGATAGATATTCTTCAGAGCTCCATATACGCTCCCATAGCCAAATCTTCCACTCTGCAAGGGTAGACAACGGTCAGTCATCCATGTGCCAGGCACAGGCCAAGGAGCCCTACACACACCCCCAAGGCACCCTGCCCAAACAAGTGTTAGTATGCGCTCCATGTGATGCCTGAGACAGCAACACAGAGGACAGCCCAAGGCAAAAACTGGGTTCCACTTACCTCAGCCTTTAAAACAATCCTTCAAGAACGTACAATAAGAAAGAACCTAAATTACACATTGTATACAACTGAGACTTAAAAAATCACAGGGTGAATTCTGTTTCATCTTACACTTCTTGCCTAAAGATCAGTGCATGGCTTTTCCTGAACAATGCGTGAACTTGGATGAAGTCAGGACTACATCCCTACCAGTACTCAAGTGGCAGCAACCTTCTCCAGACAGAAGAACTTCTTTTTTATCATGAGGAAGGGGTGCGACATCATTAACAGGGAACTAATTAGAAAGTCACACTCACCTCATATCGGGTCTTCACTACAGTCACTGGCAACATGCAAATCCCAGATACTGCACGTGCGGTGGCACCCAGAAAGACAGACTCCAGGGCTGTGGGTGAACGGTCTACTAGAAACTTTTGCTTCATCATGTACAAAGTGCTGAAGTAAATCCCAACCCCAGGAATACATCTTGCAAAGGACTTCAGAAGAAACAGAAGCAGATGAAGAAAGAAAAGGCACACATAAGACAAAATGTACTACAGAACATTTCAGAGACTGTTAAACTTGACAGGAAGCTTTGCACCAAAACAAAACAAAAAAACGAAGAAAACCACACTTCAGTGACTTTTCCTCAGCTAACATGCTGAGGAAAGAAGACAAGGTAAAAATAATTTACAGCATTGAGAGCAAATTGATTCAAATTACGCCAGGATTTAATGCCCTCCTCAACTGTGATTTTCTAGGAACAAGATATTCCAAAACAAAATGAGGTTGGTGCAGTTGCCACCCCACACTTGCAATGGTATTCAAGTATTCAGCTACTCAGGACTGCAAATCCACAGTGACTGCTATGACCTAATCTGTGGAATTCACAACATTAACTCCTTAAAATAGGATTTAACCATCTAAATCACATGGTTTTGTTCAGAATTGTACAAGAGCTGGCTATTTAAATCCAGCCCACAGTTAGTAATAAATGGTAGGGTTATTTATGTATTTATTTTTAGAAGTCAGGGTTAAAACAGCCACTTACTGGAGAGACACCTTTCCAGAGCCCCAGAAGACTCTCAGTACGAACAACCCTAAAGAGCAGTGTTACCATCCCAGCACGACCGGACCTGAAAGGAAGACAAGACAGGAACTGCAGAGACGACCTGCTTATGCTCTTTGTCAGATGTACTCTGCAGCCACCCCCTTTCACTCATATCTCTGTGCATTACCCCAGCACCTTGGAGGTGCTCCTTCTAGATTCAGCCTGCTTTCCTTGGTCACTCGTTCCAGGGCTTCTCTGTCACCTTCTGCTTTCCCACCACTTGTAACACACATTAGAGGCCTCTCTCATCGGCGTCTTTAGTTGCTCACTCCCTTTGTTAGCAGCAGATGTAGTCATAATTGACTACACCAGGCAAATGGGAGCAGCTGCACACATGGACAGGTTATGTGGCAACAACACATGATTTTTCTGACAGAGGACACCCTGTGAAACTGCACGGTGGCCACTCCAGCAAACAAGCCAGTCTCTCAGATGTGTACAGGCAAATGCTCTGGTTACATGCTATTAAAGTAGTGTTCACAAGAGCAGCCATTTTCTCTCTTCTACAGCAAAATATCAATCCTTCTCCATGCTATAAAAACATACGCCCTATTTCAGAAAGACTCTCAGTATCTGAATTACAACGCTGAACTCCAAGCCCCAGCCAGCCACCCAGGCAGAAGCCTAGGTGGAGCACCCCCGCATCCCCGATGCATACACATCTCCGCTCTCTCACCCATTCACAGCAGGCTGCAGAGTCTGCAGGCGGGTTTTCAGCAGATCAAGGGGTTGGAAGAGGAGTGTGGAGCAAGTCCCACTGATGGAGCCACACACAAAGGCCTTTAGGACTGGATGCATCTGAAAGAGAAGAGGAGGACTTTAAACTGCCATTTAATGAAGAATGGCACAAGAGAAAATACAGCAGCTGATATGTCGCTCGTTATAGGAAAGGCAGACTAGCTAAGGACTGCTGCTCAGGGCACAGAAAACTTTTTCAGACCTTTTCAAAGCCTGATGAAGTTTTATTTGTGGGTTTTGGTCCCTCTGCCTTTCCTGGGAGACTGTTCCAGAATTTCCTTGCAATTCAATGGTTGGAAAGAGTTTTCTGAACATCAAATGTATTAGCAACCATTTGCCATGTTAAAGGAAATGGTTGCCCCGTTCGCACTACCCCACCAACTACCTGTGCCTTAGCCCCAATCTCACCCACCTCTGCTCCGCACCCTGCTGGCAGCGCCTCTAACCCTGCCTCCCAATTGCACACCAAGGTCCCCCACTGCCATGGGCACTAGCGGAGCTCTCCCTTAAAACTGCCCGCCACTCAAACCTGGCTCGCACGCACCCAAGGCGCAGCCCAGCCTGCTCAGCTAAGGCCTGGTTTGCCTATCCACACCGGCTGCCACCTCTCAGCACTTCTTGGATGATAAGGCAGGAGGCACAAACCACATAGCGAGGTGGAAATTTTATTAAAATTCACAGTGGCATTTTGTTAATGAAGAACGAGTTTCTACACCCCCTGGAGCAGAATCACGTCAGAGAAGATATTTTGCAGCACGGCGGTTTCTGGGGGGCACACTCAGAAGCCAATAATGTGTCTTTCGCAATAAAGCTGCACGTGGCTGCCCTCCACCTCCGACTTTTTCCCTCTGAAAACCCGCTACGACCCTCCGGCCGCTCTGCACGGCCGGGGCAGCGGCCGCCCCCCCTCCCCCCCCCCCCCCCGGCCCCCCCGGCCGGGGCCCCCGCACG